GGTTTCTCTCACTAAATTCCTCCCTATTTATCTTTTGTTTTTTCTTTTTCTTTCTGCGTAAATCACTTTCTTCCTCTCCATCGAAGCTTACTCTCTTCCTCTCTACCGAAGCTCCCTCCTCCCTTTTTCTTGCATCATTTGTCCTCTGATTTTCGATTTGCATTATGAGTCCTCTGATTTATTATTTTGTATTTTTTTAGATTGTAGAAACCTTAGTTTGTGGGTTTAGGGTAGAAACCTATTGACAGTGGCGGAGCCGGCCAAAAATTTAGGTGGTGCCAAAAAATTTGACATATCAAATTATCAAAATATTTATTATAATTACACAAATTTATCAGGAAAAAAAATTTACTATGAATTCTAACATAATTATCTAAACTATGTACTAAATAATGACACATATTATTGAAAATTCAAATGAACAATCGTCGTTGATTATATATCAAAGCAAACATATAAAAATGCACTAACCTTTTCGGTAAACATTTCAAACATAAGAATATCACTTTCCTCACACAACATAATAAGTAATGAACCAAACATTATCCTAAGGATATGAAAACACACAAATATAATAATTATATGTATAATAAGCATTGTTCTTCGTCTCCTCTTTCATTGTCTTTATTCCTTAAATTTTCAATATCTCACATTAGAGAACATCGCACTTATTTGCAATAGCCATAAGCACGATGGAAAGTTCTCACATTTGGGGATTAGGTTTTTGACTATTCTTTGTGTGTGCAATAACCCAAAACACAATAGTTCAATGGACATTCATATTCTATAATTATAGTCCAGTTATTCATTTGGTTTCATGATTGTTACTTTCAAGGGTTAAGTGTTTGTCCTTTTAAAAGATACAAATTTTGTCCTTTTAATTTTTAACACTATGTCTTGCCGGTAAGACATAGTTATATTATGAAAAGTTATTTTTTTTCTCTCTCCACGTCAGCTGAAATGACTGAGGAAATAGAGAAAAAAAAGTAATTTTTCATATTATAAGTATGTTTTACCTGTAAGATATAGTGTCAAAATTAAAAGGATACAACCTTGTGTCCTTTAAAAGGACAAACCCTTTTTCCTACTTTTTTAATGGGTTTATTTGGTTTAGTTGAACCCAAATTTTGAAATAAGTCAACTAATCATTTTTATGATTAAGTTTAGAAGTCTTTCTTTTTTAAAATAACAGGAGTAAGAATAAATAACACAATTGATTAGAATAAAGCAGGAAAAAAAATATACAGGATAAAAAAAAGAAGGTAAAACACAAAAATAATTATACTATACATGTTCCTTATTATTTGTTTGCATTTAGATGGTTAGTTGTTACTTTGTATTGAGTATTTGATTTTTTATTTAGGTGGTGTCAAATTATAATTTTTACTTTAGTTAATTATAATTAATTATATAATAAGTAAAAAAAAACAAGTACGCCACTGCCTATTGATGACAAGGGTAGGAAGTTGTTGATGACAATAATTAATTGATAACAAGGGTAGAAAAAATGATAATTAATTATCATTTTATTGCTGACTATAATTAATTAGTAATTGTATCCTCTTGCATATCCTACTCCCGTTAGGATGACCTGCGTGTTTACTGCTCTTTCAAATATGCTTTCAATCTATGTAGCACCGATACTTCAAAAATTCTGATGTGTCGTGTCCGACATTTCCCGACATTCTAACACGTGTTGTAAAGACTCAAAAAAAAGTTTAAGAGTTGCATTGCACTGTGTTTTTAGTTCCAACTATTATATTCGTTGAATTATGATTACCATTTTATTGAGTTTAATATAAATATTTGAGATATCTTATGTTTCTTTGCAAAATTGATGGGTATTATACGTTTAACTTCATTTTTTGTTTAATTATTGAGCATTAAATATAATATACATTACATAAATTAAAAATAGTATTTATTATCAAAATATGTCCTAATGTGTCAAAACTTAATATTCTTTAGAATTAATGTAACATCCTGTAGTGTTATCATTACATCGTATTAAGCTACGCTTAATTAAAAATGCGGAATATTCTTTTTCTTTTCAATTATGACATCATTATCAATTGCCAACTTGATTACTTAATCAATTTCATAAAATATCGCCTGAATGTAAATTGCAATAAGACATCTACTGAAATACCTCAATATATATATAAAGTGAGTATCTAAATCACAGATCTACATCACGTAGTCCGAACAATATCCTGATGCATTATTACAACTCCAAATAAAACTAAGACATAACTAGTATATGTGTCATGGACAATCCCCATGCTCACCAAATCAACAGCGTCTCAACAAGATAATCACAAACATAAAATGTAGCTCAAAGCATAAAAGCAGCATGCATATCCAGCATCCAACAAGTCAGCATATAATATCATCAATATCTAACTCAGCTCCGGCCTTTTTCCGCCTAGGGCCTCAACCCCAACATTACCTGATCCTGAAATAAGCATTCCCCAAACGTGGGGTGAGATCTCTAAACCAGAAATCTCAGTAAGACTAGGGGTCCTCAATGATCTTCCACCCCAAGCTCACTTACATGTGCAATATAAGTTCTAAAAGCATTTATATCAATATCAGTTCCAAAACCATGCAGTGCAACAGATATTCATGCCATGTGTGTTTATCACTATTCTACTAGCCATAGAAATGCAGGAATACGTCTATACCTACATGTAGTACAAGGAACACCGCTTGCACCTCACCCACAGCCTCACCATCTTGTATGTACCACATACTCAGGCTTACCGTATAGGTGGAACACCACATGCATATCATAAAGGCACTAGCATATAACAGCTCATCAGCATTTCCAAAACATCAAAAGCATGTAACACATCATGCATATATCCATACCCACATGGGACATGGTGGAACCATAACATGGCTAAACCGAGGACATGAAAGCTTACCTTGCAAGTTCACTATCCAATGCCAAGAGTCCACAATCTCAAGGTCCAAACACAGCAGTATCACAATCTGTTATGGACCAATAGTATATCAATAATCATGCACCACAAGCATACAACTTAAAGACAACGCCTTTCCGTTACGTTTTATGTCTTAAGGCTTCACACAAGCCATAAGTCCTTAATCACATGATTCTGACTTAGCTCATTAATTACAGAAGTTCAACTTCATCAATCCAGGGTCCACAAACCCCCAATAGCCTACTGTACACACAGCACAGCTACTGTTCTACGAAATCCCAGAATATCCGGATATTTCTCGAGGACATATCCGGATATGCAATATCCGGATATCCAGTATCCGGATATCCAGTATCCGGATATCCAGATCCCAATATCCGGATATCCAATATCTGGATATCCTGATCCCCATATCTGGATATCCAATATCCGGATATCCAATATCCGGATATATCACGATCAAATATCCGGATATATCACGATCAGATATCCGGATATTTCACGACAGAATGCAGTTTCTGCATTTCGTGAAGATATCCTTCCAAGGTTGAGTTTTTACTGATTTTAGACACTTAAGCATGCATTTCTAAGTGTGTTAAGCATTTCCCAACATTAAGTTGTCATCTTTTAACCTTTACATGCATCAAGGTTCCATTTTTAAGCAAAAGAACTCAAGATCATGGGTTGAACAACTCACCCAAGCTCAACTAGCCAACAAAGGGTGCTCTTGGAGCTCACAAGACAACTCCAAGGTTTTGACTTCTTCAAGAAACGAAAAAGAAGGCTGAAGGTTGGTCCTTTCTCACCAAAAAAAGCTTCTTGAAGCACCAAGTGCCAAGAATGAGACTCCCACCCCTCAAACACAAAACTCAGTAGCTCAACCTCCCTCACACAGGTTCTCTAACTCAGAAAGGTGACCATTTTCTGCTCACCAAGCTGACACACTCAAGACCAAGTGTTTAGGAAGAGGTATCAAAGAGATAGAAGGTCACAAGGCTCACACAAGAGGGAAGAGAGCAATAGAACAGTGCAAAACTGATCAGCCTCCAAGGTAACCACGTACAAGAGTGTATGGCCTAGGGTTTTGTGCCTAAAAGTCATATATATATATAGCCACCTTAAAATAAAACACACAATATTAACTTTAATTGCTACGCTTATTATTTTAATCCCAAACTTTGGATTCTTAACCTACTCAATTTTACAAGAATTGTCATATTTTTATTATATTTTTCGGAGCACCTTTCCTGTACGCGCTTTTCATAGCCAGTATCAGTTTCTGGCACCAGTTCTCATTATTTTGACTTGAAACTCGTTTTACAAGTCCTATATATTATTCTAGTAATTATCATGCACTTATAATAATTTTTTGGTACGCATTTATAGCGACTAGCAGAACCGGTATCTGCACTTTTCTTCCGAAAAGCGATTTTCAGCATTCTTAATCACTTACTATAATTATTAGAGTCTCATAATAATTATTAGGGTCAATTATAGAATTATTTCTTAATTTAACATAATAAATTACTTAATTAACGATTCGGGTTCTTACAATTAACATGTTATTATATTCATATCTCGTGTTCCCAATCAATATCAATGCTACGTAACTTTGAACAGGACAATTTTTTCTCCAATGTTAGTACTACATTGGGGATTGGCCTCTTGCATGTTATTATGTATCATATTATAATATATTTTTTCTCGATGCTAGAGCTATATTTTGTACCATAGCATGTCCAAATTCAAGATGACGCTTTTTTTCTTCTTTTTTATGATAACAAGATGATGCTTCTTTATTCTTCAACACTCTTCACATTCTTTCCTCACTTTAATTGGAAATACACGACTCACTCCACTTACATTAAAAAACACACTGCATATACTCCAACAATTCACTCATAGATACACAAACTCATCTTCCAACTTCAGCAGAAATTATAACGGCAGCTTTATAACAAATAGAACATGTATACATCGTAAACGAAGACACTCAGAAAATAACTCTTCCCCTCTTGTTTTATTTATTTTCAAAACCTGAATAAAAAAGAAAACCCTCAAACTACAAGAAGAGCAACTCAGGGCACAATCTTGTAAGTCTTGGTTTTATGTATCCAACTTTGAAAGGAATTCTTGGAGTTCCTAAATCCCAAAAAGCCATGCTCTTTAGCCTTGTTCATACTATCCAACACAGCATCCTTTCCAAAAATAACATCCGCAAACCACCAGTCACCAACCTCTTCAAGCTTGGTGTGCTGAAGCTGATTCTCCCTCACAATCTCCTCCCATACGTGACCCTTATCCTTCATCAACTCTGACAACCTCAAATTCGAACCCTCTTCAAAACCATATTCCGCAATCCCAAACTGTTCCGCCAACACCTTCCACAAATGCTTCCACTTGTAAACATCCCCGTTGCTGCAGTTAAAAGCTTCATTCTTTGCATTAGGCTCCATCGCACCCCAAATGTGCTGTTCGACAATCAAATCAGCATCTGAAGCCATAGAGTAACGTTCCCACGCAGCTTTATTAGTACCAGGAAACCTCAAGGGAACACCCTCATGCTTGCAAACAGCAGCGTAAACACAAAGCGTACCAATGAGGTTCATCAAGCTGTAAGGTGAGAAACCAAAGATGACTTGTGGTCGGTTAACGAACCACGTCAACCCCTCCTTATTGTTAATTTCTTCGAACAATATATCCTCTTGGGTGTAGTAGAAGTTCGGAGCGTCCAAACGTGGCAAGTCCTCCGTGAAGGGTGGCTCATGGGCTTTGATTTTTCCAAACAGCTCATACGGTCCCAGGTAATGTTTGGCGCCTGTCTGAAGTGACACGTGGCGGAGATTCGGAGCGTGTGGGATGACGGCGCGTAGGACGTTCCTTAACATGGCACCATTCACCTCGCAGTTCTCGGCCTCGGTGGGTCTGCTGGTCCAGGACACGTAGAAGATGTGGGTCACGTCGGTTAATTGTGAGAGCTTCGATTCGGCGTCGTTTTGATCTGAAATATCGCATTGGATGTAGTGGACGGGGTGATCGGCATTCCAGCTTGGTCGTGGACGGCGAGCCACGCCGTAAACCTTCCATGGACCACCTGGTGTGTCGCGGAGAGGTAGAATCTCGGCAAGGCTATTGCCCACTATGCCCGTCACGCCTATAACCAATGCAACGTTCTGGGAGCTCCGTGGTGCTTCCTCGAGTTTCTTCGCCTGCATAGGTACAAAGAGAAAATGAGAAAATGAGAACAAAAACCAACTAAAGAAGAAGGAAAAGGAACATTGAAAAAGATAGAGCAAAGGCAAATTGGGATGGGACTTGCCTTGTCGGTGCCAGTTGCTCTCTCCCACCACCAGCTCATTTTTCAGTGCTTAAGTGTTAAAAGAGAATATGTTTGATATTCCAATTAACAAAAAAGCAACGCTGAGTATATTGTAATGGTTTGATTTTGTACTAGGATGTTTGCTTCCTTAACTTACATGTTCATTCTCTCTCTCTATATATATATATATTGTGTGTGTATGTGTGTGACTAGAGAAGATCACAGACGTGCTTTGAATGGTTTTCACCGATGCCGAGAGCCATGACATCCTTCCCTTATCAACGTGTATTTATCTATGTATTGATACGTGTGAGTGCCTTTTTTTTATAGATTATCTCTCGACTACTAATGCTCGAACTTATAACACCTCCATTATTTTACAACCTTATATTGTATGTTTAAAGGATATTGTTAACCTGAAAGGAATGCCACTATTTTGGCCGCCAATCAAGAGCTTAGCTATCATATTACTTCCCTTTTCTTTTTCATGCTAATATATCGTTGAGACATGAGAGAAATTGAAGTATTGGGAAGGCTATAATAAAGAAGATTAAGAAGAGCAAATGTCGGGGAGAAATTGCCTACGGACGAGATTATGTATCTCATGAGAAGTTTTTAGATTTAATTAGGAGAGAAGTTTCAAGATGGTCAAGAAGAGGAGATTTCAAATCCAATGCTATCAAAACATATACGCTTCTCTCTCTTTTTTTGAATTAATGTTACTCATATTATAAAAATAAATTTTTTTTTTTTGATAACAATAAAAATATTTTTATTTATTACATAATCTTGTCTATTATACATATAAAAACATGTGATGCTATATATGTTCCTATTATATGAGAGATATTAATATCTTTATTTTTAGTTTTTTCTTCTAAATAACTAAAACATATAACAAAACTTATCCGTTTATCTTTTTTATAATGGACCATTTAAAACAAAACTTTAATCTTTTTTAATAAAAATCAATCAAAACATTTCAAATATTTTCATTTATTTTTATTCCCACCTTAAATCAAATCATCACTAATAACATCGGAACCAGCGCTGCCATTGCAACAAAGTTTATTAAATAATTGTTATTCTATAAATATATTAGAGCAATATAAAAAATATTAATGTAATCTCATCCAACAACTTAAATTTTTTTATTTTTTTTGGTAGTTAACAACTTAAGTTTTTAGATTGAATTGGTTCTTTAATAATATCAGAGCTTTGGTGTTATGGGTTTTATTTTCACTACCCTCATTTAATTAATAAATAATTAATTATTATAAAAAATATATAAAAATAATTAATGTAACCTTACCTAAAAGATTAAGTTTTTTGGTTAAATTAATTTTTTATAAAATAATTTTAAAAAACAATTATATAAAACAAAAAACGAAATCAATCAGGCCTTATAATGCTATATTCTTGAAAACAGAAATTACAAGTCCTATATACATGATTAAAGGAGGAAAAAACTTACCCCAAAAAAAAAATTACAAACAGGATTTTATTTTCTATAATAAAACTAGTCAATTATTATACCAAACAACTAGACACTTCTCCACATCGATCATCGATAAGAAGAATAGATGAAAGTCCACGTTTTTACCAACTTGGGCTAGTTTAGGACGGATATCAATACCAAACTAATGGACACCTTTCAAGTCCCGCCCACTGATAACATGCCTTTTCACATTCTCTCCTCCTTTGGTCTTCATTGCACCGTTCTAAATTCTTATTTAAACTTCGTTATACACTTCTCAACTACTCATTTATCTTGGTTTTTCTGCAGTGTTGTGTCTCCTGTCATTCTCAGTAATAAAATATTCTTCTCCAATCAAAATAAAAGTGCTGACAAAGCAATTAATTATAGCTTTATTTTTATTATGTTACATAACATAAGATCATCTTTCTACACACACAAATTTTATATTGGACTCACTTTAAATTTTTTCTCTTTTTTCTATTCTCTCTCCTCTCTCTTTTTATGTGAGTAGGAAATTTGTTTTTATGTTATGTTACGTAACAAAAACATTTCCCATTAATTATAGGGAAATATAAGTGTAATATTATTGGAAGAGAAACAGTATTTCCTGCACTAATATCACTAACATCGATTGCTGTGCTTAATTTTTTTTTTCTTTAAATTTATGGTCCCACCTAAAATTGTGTTAGCAAGAATTTGATCCTCCTTCCTGTAACATGACATTCGCAACCCCCTTAATTATAATTTGATAAAACGGGTGAACTGAATTTAGTATATGACAATGAAGTTGAATTAGGTTAGTAATAGGTGAGTAGGGGGTGAGTTTTTTTTTTTTTACTAACATGACCTTTATACCCTCTCAATTTCTCTTCTTTCTTCCCTCACTCAATTTTAGGGGTGTAAATGGGTATACTTTGACTTTGATAGCCTAAGCTTATCTAAAACATTTAAAGTTTATACTGATCAATTAACCTATTAAAAGCTTGATTGTAGGTATGGTCTGGCCTATTATTTATTGGAGATTCTCTGATTTTTTATGTTATCTCTATAATTTGTTGGTTCGGTATGCTATAATACTTGACTGACTGAGAGACGATTGTAGTGCCTGGGTTTTGAATGATGACGAGTTTTGCACAGCATATGCATTTCAGGATTTTTGTTAGTAGCTGTGAATTTTGTAAGTTCAAACAGGCAAACCATTGATGTATTACTCATTGCATGCTTATTTGATTAAGAGGTTTAGTATGCAAGCACTATTTTGATAATTGAAACCATTCATAACTGTAATGGGTTAGAGCTCTTGGCTTGTGATTCTTAAACACGTGTTCTAATTCTCTGTTGCTATTCACGGATACAGGCCATGTGATGTGTACATTTTGCTTGTCAAAAATTCAAATGAGTATATTCAGAATCTCAATGATCAAAATTTTTCTTTCAAGATTATTATTATCATCATGAGGATTCTGACATACGAGTTTGTGGGTAGTGAAACATGTTTAGAGTCATTGTTCCTTTAATTAATTATCATGCGCTTCTGTTATGGATAGATCAATAGGCTGCACTGATTGTTAAAAAAATATCTGATCATGCGCTAAATTTTGTTTAGGAATATCAAATACTGCATACTGCTGATCCCATGAGATATTTCTTTTCTTTCTTTCTTTGCTAACAGCCCATTTTCCTTTATCTTTTGTTCACTAATTTTTGTAGCAATGAACAAATGGCACCTAAAGGTGGACAGAAAATCAAACATAGTGCTATCAAAGGTAAGGGAACACAAACTTCTACCAGAAAATCAACAGCTACCACTACTCCTCCACCACAAGTGTCCGAAAGGGTGCTCAGAGGCAAAAGGAGCTTACTGAGGGCAAGCTGAAAATAAATTATGAAAGGGGATTCAAGCTTCAGGAGAAAGGTCTCTACACGGAAATATTTGTCACACCATATGTGAAACCATGCAGCTGGTACACTTCTGTTGAGAAACCAACGCTCGAAGTACCTATCCAATTGATTCATGACTTTGTGGCAAATTTCCCTATTGAAGACAACCCAGTTTCAGTTCCTGTGAGAGGCGTTTTAGTTGACATCTCCCCTGAGAAGATCAAGGAGATCTATGATGGTGACTATGATTGGTATCTCCAGAATCTTATTAATAGAGGCATACCAGAGATTTATAGCACGATGGCTAAAGCTCTTACTGGTTATCCAAACAAGGAATGGGATACAGAGGAGGTGCTTACCACAGAGCTTACCAAGGAAGCTCAAATTTGGGAAAAGTTTGTGAGGTATTGATTGCTTCCCAAACTTCACATGCACAAATTATCTACCAAGGTTGCTGTTGTTGTCTATTGTATAAAGGCAGGACTCTCATTCTTCCCTGAAAGGTTCAAAAACAGCTTCAGGCCCTTTTTACCTTCCTTGTTTAGTGAAGCTGCTATGTGATGCAGCTGGTGTACCTTCTTCATCAAAGGATAAAGAAACTTTTCCACCACCCAAATCAGCAATTGATGAAGTTTGTCTAAAGCATATGGTAGAGACTGGATTTAAAAAGAAGAGAAAAGCACCTCTTCAATCCATCCCTCTTCCGCATCAAAAAGGGAAAGTCTCAGCCATGGAAGAGCGGATTAATCAGCTTGAAAATGTTATCAAGGAGCTTCTCCAGTACTTACAAAACACCAGAGGATGTTTTTCACAGGAAGTTTTTCCTGAAATTCCAGCTCACCTGCTGCAAGGTCACTTCTCTGGAGCTTCAACTTCAAGACCAGCAGAACATAACCAGCTAGATCCAGTTGATGTGGAGGACTCCTTCTCTGAGGATTAAGGCTCCTCTTTCTCAGCTGACCATTTAATCGTCATTCAGGTTCTATCATCATATTTTTCACACATTCTCTTGTTTCTTGTGTTAATGTCTGTTTGCAATATCACTATTTGCTATGTATGGTTTTATTAGTTGCTGTGAAGACCCATGTCAAAATTGCTCACGCAGATCTCTATATTGTACTATATCATAAGATTATGACTAACGGGATTGGCCTATTATATGTTATTATGTATATTGTCTTGATACTAGAGGCGTAGTTTGAACCAAAGCCTTCAGTCTAGCATGTAAAAATTCGAGATGATACTGAATTATTCTTTTTGTCCAATTTATCTTATGATAAATGATAAACTTCTAGTTTTTCTTGTTTTTATAGGTTAAATTAATATAAATTATCAAGTTAAACAAGTTAAAAACTAGGGCTCTAACATAAAATCATGAACATTATTTGATTATGAATTAAATAAATTATATTTGCTATTTTGAAAGGATTTGATGATAAATGGAGTCAAATGTGAAGATATGATAGATGAAAATCAAAACTAGAAGATATGAGGATATATTCAAAGAAAATTAAGATCATCAAGTTGTTGAAGAGGAGGCTTAAGCCTCCAATATGGAGCTTAAGCCCCCAAAATATTCCAAAATACGCAAATAGCGCTGCCTTTGGGCGCTTAAGCCCCCAATTTTGGGCTTAAGCGCGCTGCAAACAAGAAGTTCCAGCTCGAAGAGCGCGCTTAAGCGCGCCACATTAAATTTCCATGCAATTCTCAGCAGGCTTAAGCGCGCCCAAGTAAGCTTAAACACGAACGTTTAGTCTACATTCGTAAATCATGAAGCTTAAGCGCGAATGAGCAAGCTTAAGCACCCCGAAAGACCCAACTTAAGTCCACTTGAAGTATCCACCTAGGGCACAAATTCTTTACCCTTAAAAACACATTTTGGGGTCAGAATTAATCAGTTTCACACATTCAAGAAGAGTTCTTGGTGCTTGGAGGCAGAGAGAATGCGGAGAAACATTCGGTTCATGTTCGTGAGCGGCGGAGACGGATCAACATCAAGTCTGCACTGGGGATATTGAAGATTCACCAATAATCTATGGAGTTTGGGAGAGCTTTTATATTGTCTTTCATTCTTGATATTGTTATGTCTGGCTAAGTCTTTTAGTAGTTAGGGTTAAATGGAATTTAATCAATTTATTATGCTTTGAACTTAATTTTCCTTTTTGTCACGAATGAAGTTGTCTGTTTTTAATGCTTTACATAAGCTTGAATCTTATGTATTGATCTTAGGTAAATGCATGATATAGGAATGTTGATGTGTGATCCTTATATGATAATTTCATCGTACGCTTTATGATTTTAGGGATAGACATAGGGTTTGGGTAATCTTTATGATTCTTGAACTTAATGCTTACTTTCTTGGAGAATAACCGGAGAACTAGGGTTCTTGCAAGATTGTGAAGATTTAGGGTAACAAGGGATTGAGCCCTAATTACATAAGAAAGAATCGATTAGATTGATATTAAAGACGATTAACGTAAAGAAGAAATTCAAACTTAATAGAGAGATTGAAGGAAATCGAAACCCTAGCTACATTCTTTTACATTAGTTAATTCGAATCTTTAAATTCTTACCTTTTAATTCTTGCTTTTTAATTCTTGCGAGTAATTAGTTTTAATATTTAAATTTCAAATTCAAATCCTGTTTCCAAATACAACTTTGATTGTCCAACTTAAGTTGCAATAGTGAATTAGTGCTTGAGTATAATCTTCGTGGGAACGATCTCTTATTCAATCATTATATTACTTGTACGATCGGTGCACTTGCCGTGAGTGCCAACAATAAACAATATCTGAAGTGCGGAATGTTGAATCGTTTATCCGCAACATGGAGTTCTTTTTGTCACCTCATAAAATTTCTACTGTCACATTTTCTCAAATAAATAAATAAATAAAATTTCTACTGTCATGAACTTACTTCAATTTTATTTCACCTTTCCATCACATTTAAATTTAAAAACACTCGTGCTGTCAAGCGTAACTTCTAAATGTTTGGTGCGCTTCCTCATTCTACTTTAGTGCCTTGTAAGGTCAGTTTGATTTCCAAAAAAATAAGGAAGGGTATCATTTAAGGCCACTGGAGAAATAACTACATGTTGGAAACTTAAGCGATGTTCCAAGAAAGGTATGAAAAAAGATATACAGCAAATACACTACTCTTTTCGCTTGGTTTTTTTCAAAATAAATAAATAAAGTTTAGGAGGATGGAAGGTCTGCCTCAATGAGGACTTAAGAGGTTGCCTACTTGCAAAACCTATTCATCAACAAGCATAGCTCAACCAACTTACATAACGGATTAACAAGAAAAATCTGACCTCACTTTTAGTCATTGAGCTTCGCGAAGTCTTTTGGAGGGTTAAAAAGGTTTACAAAGAGAAATGCAGATGTAGATTTGACAACCCAATTTTCCCCAAAGAAAAATTATCTTATTATCCCCTAAAGAGATCTGTGAACATGTCAAGTATATTCAAAGCATTCATGATTCACATTTCGGAGTTTCCAGCGCATATAAGGGACAGAGACTAATCATAGCATCAAACTGCATGAGAAAACTATGTCATCCAAGTTCCAAGGAGAAGGAAAGGCCATGTAGTTATATAATTTAATTGTTATCTTTTCCTAATAAAAATAAGAAACATAATTCGAATAATGTAGGAAATCTATAAATAGTTCGAACAGTAAGTTACAATTAAATACTGTTACAACCTTGAGGCAAATTGTCAATGTATGTGCCCTTAAAAGCATAAAAATCATAGATCTAGGAATAATTTAGCTTCTGCTTACTCTGGCTACTTAGTTTACAATTCATAATAAAAACCAGCATTAAACCCATTTAAGAGTTCTTCAATCCTACATAGTTTCCGTCAAAGATGGTGGAAATTTCGCTAGGGTACCATCATCAATATCAATATTAGTGCCTTGAAACTCAAAGCAAAAACTTTTCAGTGATGAAATCTAGGCTATAACTGTGATCTTTAAGCATCATGGTCGAATGCTTTTCACAGGAGGGGGAAAATAAACTTTATAGGAATTATAGCTTATAAAATGATCAGCAGATTCCCAGTTTCATATTTATGGAAAACAAGTGGAAAAAACAAACCTTGATGCGCATAATCATCCACCAAAAAACCCAGAGTATTAAAATTCACTTTCCGGGATCTGTAACTGATCATTTCTATTTACAAATTTGATGAGGCAATGACCCACAGCAGAAAACTCTTTGACAACCCTGCTGCAATCTTACCATTTACCTGCAGTAATTTGTCAGCAAATCCACCAAAAGTATTAAAACTAGACACCTAAGCTAATCCAGAAACTTCCTCCTTGCTAAACATCCACTGTCCAGTTAATGTTATTCATATTGCTTCCATGTGATTTTTGTAGTTGAGCAACTTTGGCATGGTATGCAGCTGCTGCCACAGCAGTCTTCACCCTAGGACCTTGAGGAAGTTCACAGGCTTCGCTCATAGAAGCAAACCTTAGCTCAGATGGAGGAATGAAACAGTCCATGGAAAGGCCAGGGACGTTGAACGCCACCTCCTCAATTGTCCATGCTTCTTCCATCCTGGTTTTAGTGTGGCTCATTGCTGTTTCCCCAAACCTGAAAAGTGTTACTACAGAACGACCTGAGTGAGCAATCATAATCCCCTCAACAGGCTTGTAGTCATCAAGAAATGAATTTATCGTGGTCTCCCAATATACAGCATCACCTCCATTGTTCTGAATACGGGTCAAATGGGAGTCTTCCAAGTGAACAAGAAGTCCTGTTTTCTGACTAAAGTACCCAAACAAAACATGCCTTATGATCTCTGCTGGGCCTTCACTCCTGGCTTTTAATGTCGAGGGATCTGCACAAAGTTTCAGAATGAAACAGTCCTCTTCATTTATCTTCTTCTCCCCAATGCATCTTGCATTAATAAACATGCTTGCAGTTGTTCTTGGATCAAGACCCTGTAGATAGAAAGAATTATGAATTGTAGAGTGGCAAGAGGTATAAAGGTAGAAGAGAACAGATACAGGAATGGAACATGGCAGGTAACTTCACCTGAAGAGCACGTCGCAAAGGCCTAACTGGCCCTTTCGCTGCATGTGCCCCAAGCCAAGGTGTGTGCCGCCACACAAGTTTCCCATTGCAACCAGCATGAACCTTGCTTCCACCAAGAGCAAGCTCCACGTACCACTTGTCCGGATTCATCTGCCACAAGACAAACCCACCCGACTCTGCAGCTTTGGAGGAATTCCGATTGCGCGTGACTTTGTTAGCTGTCTCAAACTCGGAGGCTATCATCCTCACCTTTCCCATGGCATAAGCATTGTTAATGGAATTTTGAAGCTTTTGCCCTCCTGAAGCAGCAATGAACTGCTGCAGTATGTACTGAGCAGAAGAAGTTTCCTGCAACAACACCCAATAAGACCATATTATATTGCAATGATCATGTTAAATGGAGGAAGAGAAACCATTACAAAGATCAACAGGAACATCCATCCCTCTTTCCCTCCCCAATTCTATCTCTCCTGCACACACACACACACCAGGGCACATTAAATGTTCCAAATGTCACCCATGAGCCCATGACACAAGAACACCAACCAGTCAGATGCTTAGCATGAAAGAACAAAAGCTGATCTTTCAATTGCATTTAAGCCACAGCATCTTGATTTTCACCAATTATTCTCTTACATTACAAAAGAATCAGGTAATTTTCTAGCTAGACAACAAAACTCGGAATAAGACAACAGGGGAAAAGGAAACAAATTATGAACCCATGCCTATTCGATCTGCAAAAATATGACAATAAGAGAAAAGATAAACTAACAATGAACATGAATGTATGAAGTGAAAAAGAGAGAAACTAACAATGGGGATGTCTTTGATGCTGAGATGAGGAAATGGGTCAGTGGTGCAGACATGGATGGGAGCGAGAGGCGCACCCAATACACCAAGTAACAACCTCAGATCGGACTTTTTGCATGAAGAGGAAGATGAAGCTGAAGAAGAAGATGAAACAGAAGGTGCCCTGGAAAGTGGTCCCTTCATCCAGTGGCCCCACCTTCCTTCCCCTCTGTTAGAGTCTTGCTCATCGTTTCCATCGGGTCCCTCCTTCAACGGCGAGAGTGCCTCCACGGGCCTCAAGCTTCCCGATCTCGTAAAGAACAACTCCGCCGGTGGCCCCTGCTGCTTCCTCCTCCGCCGGAGCAACCCTGACATCGGTGAAGCACTCCTTGCCGGACTCTTAGCACGTGACCTCGCCGGTGAAAGCCCTCGAACCACCTCCTCTTTCAGCGCCGAAAAGAACCCTTGCTTCCTCTCCATTTTTTACAACTTTTTTTAACACACCCTCTCGAAATACACCAGTAATTGTTCGAGTTTTCACAGCCAGTGAGTGAAGAGAAGGAAATAATACCCCACTGACAAACTAAAAAAAAAACAAAAGAAACACCAGAGAGACAGAGTTTGGAAAGAACCAAAGCCTGAAGAGGGGAAAAGATAGTGAAAGAGAGAGAGAATCAATGACTATGTTGATGTTTTGTTGTGTGATTTTTCAGATTAGACGCAAATTTGTTAGTTAAAATGTTCGGACAATGTTGCCGGGAGACAAGGAAACTGTGGTCTATACAGTACTGCGCTACTACAATTTCCCTACTTAAAGATTTTTTTTTTATTTTTTTTTTATTTTTTTCCTCTTTACAAATTAAAATTAAAATATCTTTTTTGTCTCTTTTTTTAAATTAGAAACAAATTGATTTGGCCTGATTTTTATTTTTTAAAATTTTAAATTAAATTAACTCGTGTCTCACATTTTTCGGTGGCTCATTGCTTGAGTATGGATCTAAAGAGGGATAGAGTAGAACTCGATCCGAAGGGGACAGCAACTAAACGACGAAAATTGGTGAGGTGACCTTGATACTCAGCTCAGAAAGAAACGGGAAATCAAACGGCGAAAGTTTTCTGTCTTGTGATCTGTGAATCTGTGATGTGAGGCATGGGATACATAAGACCTGTTCCCATTTGAAATGATACTATATTATATTTTTTTTAGAGATCTATTAATTTCATGTTGCATGAGATAATTGTAAAAAATTTTGTGATATACCATTGGTGAGAGTGTCCAACGCCTTATAAAAGTCACATTAGTTGTCCAAGGGACTATATATCTTAACACGCTCCCTTAAACATTGGGCTAGAAGCGTGAAATTGAACAGGTTCAATTTTTAGTTTACATTTTTGTGTTTTTTTTATTATTTTAATTTCACTTGAAAGTGGGGTGCCGTGAGGATCAAACTCGTGATCTTATGGTCACTCAAGCTCTGATACCATGTAAAGAACCTTGGATACACCACCTCAAAAGCTAGCTCAAAGAGTGAAAGTGTCCAAGGCCTTATAAAGACCACATTAGTTACTTACACTGTCAATATGAGACTATATATCTCAACAATAATTATCTCATGCAACAGAGACAAGATGGTAGAGTCCATCGTTTGTAACAAAACAAAAAAAGAGAATAACGTGAACTCCACTGCTTTGTCTCTATTGCATGAGATAATTTTTTTTTTTTTGTAATAACATTTTTTAGTTTTGATTTTTTTCTCTTTTAAAATATTATAAGTAAGCAAAATATATGTATATATATAAACAACTTGTTAAACCGACGTTGATTAAACTCGACCTATATAACCACAGAGAAGCATGTAGGTCAAAAATGGCGAAAAGCGCCGTTAGCAATGGTCAAAATAAAGGTTTTTATAATAGTATCCTCTCCACCAAGCTAATGACTAACTAGCATCATCATTTTGGAATACTTTAATCAGTGCAGATCCATGATGAGAGACATTTTCAAAACATCACCAACCTCGGCATGCGCTTCAAAAATCAAAATTAGAGAAACAGATTTATCCATTACTATCATTTTCATTTTATTATATAAAAGTATGAAACCTATCTTAACTTATTTATATCCACGCATGAATTTCTGTTATATAATACCATTGTTCCTCCTTTCAAACAGCATTGTATTTTCAAACAAAACTTTCCAAAAGTTTAAGCTGTTGGATGAGGTTGGGAGGCGCGAAGATCGAACTCGGGATACGAGGCTCTGATATCATGTAAAGAATCAATTCAACTCAGTGGGTGACGGCTTTTTAATGGTTTTATATATATTTCAACACGCCCCCTCACACGAGAGTTCACTGGGCTTGAAGGGGGGACAACATACAAGCCCACCTACCTATGCAAATTCCACTACAAAGAAAGTGGGAGGCGGCGAGGATCGAACCCGGGACACGAAGCTCTGATACTATATAAAGAACTAATTCAATCCAAAAGCTTAAGCTGGTGGGTGACGACTTTTAATGATTTTATATATATTTCAACAGAATGACGCCCGGAAAAGAGGGGTTTTTAATGCTTTTATTTTTCATTCAAGAATAAACAAACTATTTAGTCAGTGTGAAGCTTTTAATTTACCTATGTATATTGAAAGAGAATCATTGTGATATTGAAATATTAATTGAGTATAACGAAAAATTAATGCCACAATTAAATAGAATTTTGAAAAATGTTAAATTAGAATGAAGGGAAGGTGATATGGGTTAGGCCAAGTCTATACTATAGTCTATATTAGGATAATAGACGAGGCAGGCTCAAAATATTTTGTTTTAAGTCTAATTTATTTAGACCGAAACCTATGTATTATCCTCCTTAATGTTTTATTGTTCCATCTAATAAATTTCTTCTTTCATTTTAAAAAAAGGCAGCTATAAAAATACACAATGACTGCAAACATTTCAACTATGAAATGATATTCAACAAAACACACTAAACCTTATTACCTTAATGAGAGTAAAGCCTAAGACTGATAGTTTTAAAAGAACAACCATCAGCAACAAACCTCACAAATTTAACAAAATCAATCAAATAAAACAAACCTTATTATCTGTGTTTATTTGAAGACCGAAAAGTTTTGCCTGTGTATAGAGATTGAAGTTAGGGGGCGTTTGGTACGCAGCAAAAAAATTTTGCCATGGAAAGTGTGGTATGGAAAAATAATTTGTTGTGTTTGGTAGGGGGAAGAAATGAAGTGAAAGTTGGAAACTTAATTTGCGGTCAAATTGTTTGCCACCATTTTACGTTGTTGAACTTTGCCATTGAAAATGTGGAAAAAGGAATTGCCGACGCGGGGGGAAAATGGAAACATGTTTTTGAGACAAAAACACCCTCAACCCTAGATATAAACAGAAGGGTGAGAGAAAAGTTAATCACAAGTATCCTTTCAACCACAATCGTTTTGCTCTCCGTCGGCTACCTTTCCACCGTGTTGCTGGTAGGTTTTGGAATCACATGCACTTTCTTTTCTAACTAACACTTGAATGTTCATCGATTATTGTTGACCTTCTTTATCATTTCGTAGATTTGACGAAGACGAAAAGTGGCCTATTCGAACTTCACAGCACGAAAAGAATTCTTCGCTTTGTTTGATTCAGGTACGAAGTGTTCGTTGTGGTCTATAACTACAAAGGTTGGATTTTATCTAAGAAATGTGTTGTCATGAAGCATTTAGTTTACATAAATGCTAGCATTTTGTTGTTTTTCTTTCACTTGTCGTTTGATTTTGAACATTCGACCTATTTTCCCTTTTTTCAGTTCCTCGAAAAGTTCCCATCAAGCAATGTTATCTGTTTACTTATAACTTTTTCAGCATTTCATTACAATTGTCATACATAAAAGTCGAAATATTTCTTCATTTTTTGTGTTTTTGATTTTATTTTTTGACTAAGTTCATTACAAATGTTAAAAATTTACTTTTTTTAGTTATGTTGGATCTATACAATGGATATTTATTCCACAAACAATGTGGGGTACCTTCTGGTTGAGGGTTTGTTTGTGAAACTATGAACAAAAGAGAGATGGGCTTGTGTCTTGAAGAAGCACGAGTGGATGTTGTTGTTGTAAAATTAGTACAACTTCTTTTTTGATTCCTATAGGACTGCTATGTATGAATTGGTATGCATCTTTTGGCTGTTTTGCTAATCCTCCGGATTCACGGAGAAGGTTTTGGCAGATCCTTAAATGGCCAATTTTTTTTTTTGGTTTTGAATTATTTAATCTTTTTCCCTATTTTTCCAGCATCTTTTTAATGTTCTTCTAATCCACTTCTCAATTGTATATATATAAGAATAATACACGAACTAAATTTACAAAATAAGGTATAAGATAGGATCTTGTCATTTGAGTTGTTATGTAAAATTATATTTGAAATAGGGATAAAACTTTATAAAGAATTAGTGAACAATGTCTCGCAATGGCAAACCAGAATGGTGAACAAAGACGAGTCCTTTGTAGGTAAATCAAATACTGAATGTAGTCATTCTCTATGCCACTGCCTTTTTCGTTATTCTCGTGCTTTGCTATCAGCAATGAGTGGCCATCACGTAAAATTTATTAATGTTAATCTTTGTAGCTTGCAGAAATCGAAACTCCCACTGACAAACATGAATGGAATGGAGTGCAGTCTCATTGTTGTAGTCATAGGTTACTTGGAGTCTTTGAATGAACTTACAATCATGTTTATTACTATGCTTGCTTTATTATTAGCTGATCTCGAAAAAAGGAGAAATGTTAGGAAAAGAGTCACCTGGAATTGTTATAGAAGGGCGAATTTAAGGACTATATATTTCCATAGAGTAGTTTACATTAGTGAAACGGCTTGTATTGAGAATACCAGGATGGATAGGAGATCCTTCATTAAGTTGTGTGAATTACTTAAAGCTGTTGGGGGCCTTGAACCAACGAAGCACATGGGGGTGGAAGAGCTCGTTGCAATATTTCTACACATTTTGGCTCATGATGTTAAGAATAGGATCATTAAAAGAAAATTCTTACGGTCCGGTGAAACAATTAGTAGACAGTTCGCCAAGGTTTTGCAGGCTGTGCTACGATGCCACACGGTTTTACTTAAAACACATGAGCCAGTCCCTGAAAATTCAACCGATGAAAGGTGGAAATGGTTCAAGGTAACTTCTTACTTACACTTATTTGTTGTATTTACAAATTAGTTGAAGATGGTGATTATTATTTATGTCATTTTGATTATTATTTTCCTGTTTATGAATTACAGAATTGCCTAGGAGCGTTAGATGGGACATACATCAAGGTGAATCCGTTGCAAGTTGATAAGCCAAGGTATCGGACAAGGAAGGGTGAGGTAGCAACAAATGTGTTAGGCGTATGTTCTCAAGATTGTCAATTTATTTACGTATTACCTGGATGGGAGGGATCAGCAGCAGATTCAAGGATCCTGAGAGATGCTATATCCCGTACGAATGGATTGAGGGTGCCAAAAGGTATTTCATCTTAAACGTTACTTTCCATTTAACAATTTTTAAAATTGTTAAATAGACATGGGAATTGTTTATAACAAATATTTCTTCATTTTTTGTGTAGGTTATTATTATTTATGTGATGCTGGTTACATGAACGGGGAAGGCTTCCTTACACCGTACAGAGGGCAAAGATATCATCTTAGTGAGTGGAGGCATGGGGCGCAACCAACAACTCCAAAAGAATTTTTTAACATGAAACATAGCTCTGCTAAGAATGTAATCGAACGATGTTTTGGATTGTTGAAGAGGCGTTGGGCCATTTTAAGGGGAAAATCTTTTTATCCAGTTAAAACTCAATGTAGGATTATAATTGCATGTTGCTTGCTTCACAATCACATACGACGAGAAATGGCAGTTGACCCCTTAGAAGATGATGCAGTGGAAACTCAAGTGCCCCATAATGAATTTGCTGAGAACGCTATGATCACTCATGTTGAGTCATCTAATGTTTGGACACTTAGGAGGGATGAGATGGCACATCAGATGTTTAACATGTGGAGGGGACATGATTGATTTGGATTTATATGTTATGATCGTTGTGTGTGGTTGTTATTGCATTATGTTATGTATTATTTTAGATTAAAAGACATGATTGATTTTTGTATGTTTTGTGTAATATTAACTATTCGACTATTTATGCCATTATGTTTGTGTTAGCCATCTATTTGGTTCCTTATTTGTGATATGATTACTGATGCATATTGTCTGTTGTTGTCATTTCCAATGCCATATATAAATTTGTTGTATTCTATAAATGGTGGATGACAGTCAACAATCCAAGAAACGAATTAATCACACGTGGACAGCACAAGAGGATAAAGCACTTGTGGAGTGCCTTCTTGAAATTGGTTTAACTTGGAAGGGAGATAATGGCTTTAAGCCAGGATTTGCAAATCAATTAGAAAAGATGATACACGCCAAGATCCCGGGATGTTCACTGAAAGAATCCCCTCATATAACTTCCCGGATTAAACATCTTAAGAAGCACTACAGTGCAATATGAATGAGAGGGCCTAATGGTGGGAGCGGTTTCGGTGGAACGACAAAGACAAGATGATTAACGTGGAAAAAGAAATTTATGATGACTGGATTAAGGTAAATTCATTTTATTAAATTATATCTTCAATTGTTTCTATATGATTACATTTTTTGGACTTCATGGTTGTACTAATTTGTACCTTATCAGACCCACCCCAGTGCCAAAGGGCTTTTTAAAAATCCATTCCCATTCTTTGATGAATTAGCACCAATCTTCGGGAAAGAGGTTGCAACCGAAGAAAGGGCAGAGGGACCTGAAGATGCTGTTCAACAGATGGAAAAAGAGGCTGCTGTTTATGATGAGAGTGGGAATTTGGCAGATGATTTCTTTGAACAAATGCTGGACCCTACACAGAGTCAGAATTATTGTCCAATGCCTGAGCCTACAACTGAAGAGGGACCTGAAGTACATTCACCTGTGTCAGTAACTGTAACAAAAAAGGGTAAGAAACGAGCAAGGAGTGAGGATGTTGTCATTGGAGTAGTCTCTGAAGCAATGGACAAGCTTACCCAGTCACATACAAGAACAACTAACAAAATAGATAACCTGGTTGGCTGTTTTAAACATAAGGCAGAGGATAGGGAGCTGAGAAGGTCAATTCTGGAAGAATTAAAACAGATTGAAGGATTAAATACTGCTCAAAGGGTGAAGGTTGCAATGATCATGGGCAGAGATAGAAAACTGACTGATGACAATTACATGGTTATAAAAAATCTACAGTTACTTGTAAGTCCAAACTTCAAAATTACAAATCTCAAAGTGACAAAGTCTGGATATTTGTGAAGAGTTACCTCAAAGACAACCTCCGACTGTCGATTATACAAAAGAAATAAAAAAAATTACCAACGTTTCAAGTTTGGATATGCAGCTTGCAACGTCGTTGAGGTTCACCGTTAGTGCCTTTCCACAGCTTCGCGATGCAGGAGTAGCAGACCGTGTGGGTGGCGGACGGAAAGGTCTGGCACAATGCGGGCTTGGCGGTGTGCAGCAGATCTCCGGCAACCCTAGTTCCAGCCCCACGGATAGAGGTGAGGGAAATTGTGCGCAAAGAAGCAAACAAACCTCGTCAGCACTAGAGAGACAGAGAGCGAAAGAGTTAGACACGACAGTAAATTATAACGTTGGGTGACACAAGGAAAATCAACAATATTCAAAATGTATGGGTAATTTGGTAATTTTGGTAAAGATTCCCATCATTTTTTTATAATCAACCAAACATAGTTAGTCAAATTAATCCAAGTTTCCTATCAAATTTTTTGGGCTATCAAACATCTTTTTGCAAATTATCCCGTAAAAAATTTGCTAACTATTTTTCCGCAAATTTTTTTCCGGGATCAAAAAAAATTTCTCATCTACCAAACGCCTCCTTAGTCTTTATAACAAATTGTTAAGAATAAGGCGTGCAAACAATAGCGGACCTAGAAATTTTTTTTAATGTCTGCACACTTAGAATAAAAGAAAAAAGAAAAAAGAATTTAAAGAAAATTTTAAATATATTAAAATACAAAAGAATATATATACAAAAAACTTTAACTTAATATAAAAAAAGTAATCAAGAGTCAATTGTTACAATAGAACATTTTGGGTCCTCAACAAAAATTACAGGCCTCAATTTAATCTCTTAAGAGAAAAAAAGTCTACTCGTGATCCCTCAGAATTCAAAAATAGACTCAGATAATCAAAATCATGGTCTTCCGAAATTTAAAAAGATCCACATTAATCCCTCAAAAGGACTAACATGGGTCTATTTTAGATTTTAAAGTGATCACGAGTCGACTTTTTTTTAAGAGATTAAATTGGATCACGTGATTTTTGTTCATGACCCAAAATATATTTTTTTTATTTTTTTTCAAAAAATTAGTGTGTGCACTTGCACACACTAAAACATACACAGGTCCGCCACTGCGTGCAAAGGAGAGCAACCTAAATCAAGTACCTCATCAAAGGAAGCCTTAGATTCAACAAAATTATTTCTCCCGCAACAAAAGATACAATTATCTACTGCGATCCTAAAACGACGTAATTTTTTGGTTTGAAAAAAAAAATTAGGGCATTTTAAAAAATTTATATTTATCTTGTGTCATGAATTTTATTAAAATATCTTACATTTTTCTCAAACTCCAAAATAACGGCATTTTAGGATTGTAGGATATAATTTTAATTTTATTACAAGAGAAATTTTAATATATATATATATATGGGATTGCATTTTCTTATTTCACAGGTGATATATATTTTTTCCTACTGAGACATATAAACGGGTCCCACAAGTTTAAAAAAAAAAAAAAAACAAACAAACAAACAAAGCATGAGGTCCAATGTCTGTACAGGAGAAAAGAAAAAATTTATGTAACAGAAGACAATCATTTCCATATATATATATATATACTCTTTATTTTATTTTAATGTTTTGCATCTTCTATTTTACTTAAAAAATGAGTTTCCATGACAAAGTTCATGTCACTATAGTGGCTGCTTGGTCATTGAAAACGTGGTTCGCCAAATCAATCCATCAGGAAAAGATGTCAATAATTCACTAATGTATGTGCGGGAAACGAGGTTAATATGTCATAGTTAGCTATATTGTCAAACAAAATTTCTCGAGCATTAATTGTGCGTAGGATGCATAAGTATCAACGAAAATTTATAATGAACTTTGTATTAAAAAAAAATTAGGATGAACTTATAATGACCTAAGCAATGAAGAATCACATTGCTCTTTGTCACTCGAGGTAGCCTCCTCGTTCACTGATGAGTTTAACTTCTACATATTACATAATTATGGAAGGAGTATTCAATATTTATTTTGTTTCATGGTTCTCGTTTCGATTCAAGATTAAATAAGATAAATTAGAATAGATTTGAGTTCTTGAAATTTATATCCGATATATTTTAAGATCGCGTTTAAAGTTAAATTTTGAGTTATTTCAACTTAGCTTAATTTTTAACAAAATTTTAAAACTTATAATTATTTTAATAATTTATACTAAATAATTAAAAATTATTTAAATCAATACTTTTTGCATAATATGTTAATATATTTATATTGATATAATTTGTTCCATTTGTAAAATATCTATTAGTGTTTTGTTTCCTACATTTGAAGTTAATGATTTAAATGTCAAATTTACTTAGTCCCAAATTTAGTTATTAATTAAAATATCACCAAGTTAGATTTGAGTCTATAAAATCAATTCGATCAAAATATTAAATCAAGTTAAACTCATTCTGTTATGTTATACAAATATCCATAATTTATAATATTATTTATTATGTAATATTATATTATTATAAAAATTATTTTGGCTTAGGTGATTATTAAGGGTTTAGAGATTTTAGGTAATTATTAAAGTAATCGAGTTTGACCTCTTAAATAGTATTTATCATGGGTTGCCTCTTTTTTTAACCTATAATCTAACTCCTAATGAACTAAAAACTGTAAATTGATAATTGAACGTGTTTATTAAATTTGACATTTTATTACGAGTTGCTTAATTTTTTTTATTTAATATTTTCCTAAAATGACATATAATATATTTATTTATTTAAGATTTCAAATCGTCTGTCAATTATAACTATGCATATATTTTTTTAAATTTTAAACATTTTCTCTATCTTAATCTATATTATAATAGTTTAATTCTTTTTTTTTTGAATTATAATAGTTTAATTCAAAATAGCTTATACAAGTCATAAATTTAAGGGTGGCAAAGCAGAAACTTGCCCCGCTCCGCTTATAAAAATGGGTTGAAAAACTCGACACGTCCCGTCGAACCGAACTCATTTTGAATAGAAAAGTGAAAATAAAATAACAAAAATGAGTTAGGCGGGTTGGCAGATTAGGCAAGATGGTTTAGGCGAGTTGAAAAATTCGGCTCGTCTCACCATAATTGACAGTTGGGGAGGGTCAATCTATCATGCTCATACGATATATACTCGATAGTAATATAAAATGGTTATATATATATATATATATATATATATATATATATATATATATATATATGAGAATCATCCGTTTATAATTTTTTTTACAAATTACACTAAATTGCTTCATTTTTTGGTACTTAATGGCAACGGAACGCAAACTATAGACCTCAAAAATGTCAACTAGATTAATGAGTAATTATGTGTTTTTAATATTGAGGTATATCTTTTCAATTCAAATAAATTTCATATAAATAATTCTATATTTTGAATAAAACTAAATTATTATATTATCAATTATTACTATCTTGAAGGTCAGTCATAAAATACATATAAAAATTTCATCCAATTCGTTATTAGTTAAATACAAATACAGAATTAGTATTTTTCACAAAAAAAAAATTATACCCATAATATATATATATATATATATATATATATATATATATATATATAAGTGTGAGAATTTGACAAGTGTATAGTTTCGTTAAATAGTACTATTATTTTAAGAAAAATAAATTGTAACTAAATGAAAAACCTTTGCGCAGCAAATGTGTGATGCGTTTGTTCAAGACACTTCTCTTCCGATCTAGTGCACTATTATTTGGCTTCCTACGCCAGAAGAATTTATTAAATTAAATACTAATTGTGCTTCTAGAGTCAATCCAGAGGTTGCTGCTTGTGGTGGGGTGTTGAGAGACTCAAGTGGCAACTGTAGAGGTGGATCTTCTTACAAAATTGGTACTTGTTTAGCATGGAATGCAGAACTATGAGTGTTCTAAAAGGGCTCCAACTAGCTTAGAGTAAGGGTGTCAGGAAACTAATCATCGAAAGTGACTTGAGCTCTATTGTCGCGTTGCTCGCTAGACATGGTGAGAAAGCTCGTGAGTCATCTTTGGTGACTCGAATTCGAACATTGATCAATCGTAACTAGCAAGTACACTTTATTCATACATTAAGGGAGGCTAATTGCTTCACCGATTACCTGGCGAACATATTGCTAAACCACCCGGATACGAATGATCATCTGTCTTCTCAGAACCTCCTCCTAGATTGCTCTTATTTTTGCTTGCTGACTCCTCAATCACTCCTCGAATTAGGGGTGTCGGTTGACTCTTTTCTTTTTATTTTCTACTTTTCAACTTTTCTTTATGTATAAAAAAAATGAAAAAACCTTTTTACAAAATAAATAGATAATTAGTGGCGGACCTATTTGGTTTTCTATGTGTGCAAGTGCACACATAATTATGAGTGTCACTCAAAGAACAATTTTAGTGGTTGTATTACCAGAAATAAAGCACAGATATTAAGAAAGAAACACATCTTATTTACTGCTTATGTTTTAGTGGTTTTATATCATTAAGTTGATTACTATTTTTTTATGTTAAGTTCAAGTTTTCTTTTCTTTTGTTGTTTGAGGATTATATCCCTCATATTATATGAATGAAATTTTTTGCCAAGTTATATGATATTAAAGAAAGTGAGATGACACATTATTCAATGAATTGGTCTTGTCTTTTCTTAATATGACAAAAAATTTGGTTCATGTAACATAAAGGATATAATTTTTTTTATATATTCTTTTATTTTTTAATGCATTTAAAACTTTGTTTAAAATTTTTTTCCTAAAGCACTGCCCCCAAATCCCCTCCACTAAATATTTGGATTAAATATGCACACATAAATAATATTTTATGAGTCCGCTACCGTAGATAATGATAAATAAAATGAAACATAGTTAAAAAATAAATAAATGCATGAACCACACGCATTTACATTTTTTTTTATCTCCGTTCTCATGATATTCAAAATTTGATGGGAAACACATTTTGATTATTTTTATTTTCTAAAAACAATTTTTAGCTTTGTAAACCATATATGTTAATGAAAATGTTTAAAAAATATTTTTTGAAAATAAAAAATAATTAATATTAAAACAATATTTTAGAAATAAAAATATACCCTAAGATTATTTTTTTAAAATAAAATTTATTTAAAAAAAAAATTTAGAAAGCAAAAATACCTAAGAATTATACATTCATATCCAAACTTGAGAACCAGTTTACATGACATCAAATATTCAAGCGTAAGAATTGAAAATTAATTTTTTGATTCACGTGTTATCTTTTTCTTGATTATATAGAAATAGTTATGGACGATAGCTAAATATTAGGGCTAAGATAATTACTTATTTTGATTTCTAATATTAATTTGATTATATAATTATAATTAAGGATCTTGGATGACAATGGTAATTGGTGAGCATGTCATTCCCGCTCCTATAATAAAAATTAAACCGGATCTAATATCCATTGTAAAAAATCCGGATCTAATTTCCATAGTAAAAAATGATTCAAAACTGGTTTAGGTAATGCAATTTCCCTTGAATGATACTAGAAGTGAGAACTGGGAAGAGATTAATTACATGTATTTTATGCCCGTTCCAGAATCATGAGATTCCTCAACTACTGATGAGTGAAAATCTCTCCTATAAACAAATTAAAGCATGCAAAGTTGCTCATTTTTAGAGTCAAAGCCGCATCAAAGTCAAGTAACCATCACCCGTTCACCAACATACCTCGGAATTTATACTTTTTTTTTTTTCTCCCTCCGGTAATCTTATACGTTCCCTATTGACTAATCCAGAATTTGTGGTATGTCCAAGATTAAGGCTCGTGGTATGTCTAATATTAAGGCTTTAAACTCTTTCCAAAAATAATATTGTGGAGGATCGAACACATACTTTCACTTCAATCTACTCAGCTCTCTCATGTACCAATTGAACTATTATCATTTGGTTCTCAAAATTTTATACTTGATAGCGTAGGTAGGTCGCTGAGCTGTGTGAAGAAAACTAAAATGGAAGTTAAATTTCCTTATCTTTGTATATAGCCCTTTTCTTTCTTGGTTTTCAATGACAGTAACTGGTCATTGAAAATATTAGATCATTTGATTAGTATTAATAATTTACAACTTGCAGCCACGAGGAAATGAAAATTGAATAATGAACGACTCGAACTAGCTAACCCAATTCTGATACGACAACATTTTTGGTGCAAGGTCAATTCCATTTTTATCAAAGAAAGAAACTTTTTTAACGTGCACATAGATGTATCAGGCTATTACAATAGAATATTGATAGATCATTTCATTAAGCAAAAAAAAATAAAAATAACGGAATATTATTAGGTGGGAGTGGGGCCGTAACGAAACCCTAGTTCCAGTCGTACTTACTTTTGACCAACCAAATTAGCATTTTGGCAAAAGGACGTGCACTTCATACCAGCCACTACTACCAAGCTTTTGCTTTTCTCCAAGCACTACTCTTAATCACGTCGCTGATTACGGGACTGGTACGGGTACCCCTATTTTCCATTGTCGTTTTCTAAGAATATGGATTACAACTTAACAAGTTACAAGTATGAATTTCCCTTTTTTGATATATCACGGCTTATTTAAAAATCTTATTATAAGACTTTAAATAACCTTTCAGATTAAGTCATATTTTTAAGAAGTCAGGTAGAGTGTCACACCTTACTAAAAGACTTATATAAGTTAGAATCAGATCTTATGTCTGCGAAATAATTAATACTCATTTAAAATAAAATCGGAGCAGTTTCCACCCGTAATATCAAACAGGGATGGAGGGAAGGGGGAGCAGTGAATGATGCCCTCACTTCAAAACTTTTGCTTACTAATGTGTTATATTAATGAATTCTTTTGTTTATATAAAAAAATTTAATATTCAATTTTTTTATCTGAGTATCTCTTTTTATAATATGATTCGTTTTATTGTAAAAAAATAATAATAATGCATGTACTATTCGATAGATATAATTAAAAATGTCGAATACTATAATTGGAAGATTTTGATTGTAAATTCAATGAATATTACAAAACTTCTGACCATAATTATATAGTCTAAACATTTTTACATATAGTTAGAGAATAATATAAACTATTAAAAATGACTTCCCTCAACACCTTAAGATTTTAAGTTGAATTGGTTCTTTATATTGTATTACACTACAACAATCTCTGCATTTGAAGGCGGTTGGATAGACGTTAAGAGGCGGTTAAAACCGCCTTGAAATAGTTCAATCGGCGGTTGAACATCCGCATCTGATATGACTGTCGAGATGGCACACAAAGGCAGTTAGGGATAAGCGCTGGAATATCCGCCAGAAGTATACAAGGGCGGCTATTAAGGCGGATAAAGTCGACGTAGATTATTCCAAAAATAAGGAAAAACTGTTTCAAGGCGGTTAGACGAACCGCCTCCTAAATCAATATAGCGGTGTTTTATGTGGCGGAATGAGAGGTCGGAAATTATATGAAAAAAATGCAAAAATTAGTCCTGGCAATTGGTTAACCGCCTCAGAGTATAGTATTTATTTTTTATAAAAAAAATTAAATAAAAAATTGTTTTATTTCTTTAAAAAAAGGTGAAACATATTTAATTTTAAAACGTATTTATTTTATTTTGAAAAAATAAAAAATCACCACATATTACCACACACATCTGAAACGTATTTAATTTTTTTTTAAAAAATGAAATTGTTTTTAATAAATTATTTTATTTGAAAAATCCAATATTATTTTATTCAAGGCTTTATAAATATTGGTGCATGGAGAATATGTATGCAAAAAGTAAACTTCATTCATTCTGTAAAATGGAAAACAGTGATATTCATATATACCAAAGGTTAATATATCCATGTTCTATGCAAAACTAGGTACTTCCTAGCTTACATCCAAAAGATACCCAGGTTCTATGCAAAACTAAGCAATTGGTAACATCCAAAAAATACCTGGGTACTGCTGTAGCATGAAAAACATAAAAATTGAAAATACAATGTCAACATCCAAAATAACCAAATTCCATGTACAACCCAGTAATATCCAAAATACATGTTCTATGGAAAACTTCCAAATACTGGGAAATTAAGATTATGGTGGTGGGGGTGCTGGATTTGATGTTGTTGGTCCATCAGAAGGGTCATGACTAGCATGGGAGGACTTTCTGATTCCAGGAGAGCCCAAGTCAACAACCTGATATAGTGGGGGGAAAATAACATACATTAAACCATTAATTAATTAGAAGAATGTATGTTGAGAAAACGCAAAAATAGAAGAGAAAAGTTAGTTGGAGAATTGCAGATATTTGTGTTACTAACAGAGACAGGTACATGATAAGTACTATTTATACACATAAGAATAACTCATTTCAACATAACAGAAATAGATTACTTAATAAGGTAGAGAGTGCAACTGAGCAACGAAATAGTCCATACACACGAAGGACCCAAGACATGTATATATATCCCAGCAACTATATAATCCATACACACTAATAATTGAAGAAATTTTGTAATATATATACCAGAAACCATATAATCCATACAGAGTAATAATGAAAGACAACTCAATATACATACCAGGAAACACAATCCATACACAGTAATATAAAAATGATGTTGAGTATAATAGTACAAGCAACCAGTATGGTATCCATACACACAAATAATCCAAGACAATTACAATATATATATATATAGCAGCAATATCAAAATAATCCATACACAGTAATATTCCAATATGTTGAGTATAATAGTACCAGCAACCAGTGTGGTATCTCTCTACAAACAAATAATCCAAGACAATTACAATACATATACCAGCAATATCACAATAATCCATAGACAGTAATATTCGAAGTTGTTGAGTATAATACCAGCAACCAGTATGGTATCTCTATACAAACAAATAATCCAAGACAATTACTAAAGGACAAACCAGCAATATCAAAATAACCCATACAGAGCAATATTCCAAGATGTTGAGTATAATAGTACCAGCAACCAGTATGGTATCCATACACACAAATAATCCAACACAATTACAATATATATATACCAGCAATATCAAAATAATCCATGCACAGTAATAATCGAAGCCATTTTGAATATGTAGACATTCAACCATTTAATCCATACACAAACAACTTAATATATATGCTCTATAATGGTAGACAGCTTAATATTAATCCCAGCACAACATAGGAATTTAATTTTTTTTGGGGTAAACATTTAGAAATTTTTATGCAAACTCAGTGAAACAGTATATATGACAGAAGTACCACTAATCTAATACATTGCAGTAGAACCACATATTTTACAAAGGAAACAGTAAAAAATTAAATATAGTTAAACAACACATGTAAATATGAAGAAAAGGTGTCATATACCTGATTAGATGGTAAGTGACCACCAAAATTATGCATAAAAAGTGCCATTTGCGCTTTTAATGTATCCAACTCTAGCATCTTGCCCTTTATAGTATCCAATTCTCCTTTCAAGGCATCATACTCAGCTTGTGTAGGACCAGTAGAAGAAGTTGATGCTGAACTGGTAGATGTTCTACGGATTTGACTTGGGACCACTCCAAAACCCATGCCTCTAACCCGACCTGGGTGTTCCTTCCCAAAGACATTTACAAAAGCCTCATGTTCAGTATTGGCTTGTTCCAACTGTTGAAGTAATTGGTCCTACATACAGGGCATGAAAAGCATGTAAAAGTGCACCTTAAAGGTAGAAAGTAATGTAAAAAAATAAATTACAATGAGAATGAGTATACATTTTTTAGCATAGCTTCGTCATTCACAAAATTGCCATCTTTTTTCTTGTGAGAAACAGCATACATCTCACCTCTGCTATATTTGTGTCCTTCTTCTATTTCCTGTCATTTGGCATAACACAAAGGCCAATATTACAATTATTTATAGAAGCAGAATATAATCATAATCAAAAATTAAACTTGTTTAAAAGACCATACCAGCTCCCTTTTCCTCCTTGCTAACGTCTTTGCGCCGAGTGTATGTGGGATTGTTTGTTTCTGTCTATTTGCAGTATTGATGATACTATACTTCTGCATGTTCAATGAACAAAAGATATATTATTTTTTAATAACAGACAGCAACCAACACATCTTTTTGGCATTCTTCATTACCTTTGCTTTCTCACTTGTTTTATATGTCAAAAAGCTTGCCCATTGTTCTCTTGTCATGCCATCAGGGTAAAGATCAAGGTTTTCCTGAAAAGATTTGTCTTTCTCATATATCTCATTGGCTAGTCTCCACCTATTGTCTTTCCACTTCTTACCCATGTTGCCCGTACAATAATGGTAGTGGTCATCATTATCCATAACGAATCTCCTCTGCAAGAGAAAAGTTTGCTATAAATTATACATAATAATTTAATTAAAACTTAAACATTTTTTAAAATTAAAAAACCATTCTCACCTTAATAGTGTTGACCCAAACATCTTCCTTGTAGATTTTAGGTACGTCAGGCCACCTTGCATAACTTATAGGGAATATGTTTGGGTTACACGCAATGTGTCCCAAAAATCCACCCAATAGGCCAGCAGCCTCCCCAACAGGTTGATTATCTTCATTCCATTCGATAACTACTCTCTTATGAGGAGGAAGAACCAAAAGATCTCGCACACGTAATCTCTCTTGATCAGCCACTCCATTATCAGCTATTATGTTGTTGTTTAATGCAAGAAGAAGATAAAAAACTGGATTGTGAGAATATGTTAATGAAGTATAACTTTAATATAAAAATGCATTTTTGGTTACAACAAATGCAGTTACCTAACACATCAACAACCCAATACTTATTGCATGTCCTTTGGGAAGGGTTTCGTGGTATTTGATTGGAAGGCTGAGATTGACCACCAAGTGGATCAGATTGAGGAGGTTGTGATGTAGGTTGAGCAGTTGAAGATGTAGCAGGTTGTGGTGCAGATTGAGCATGAGGAACTTGTTGGTGGACCATCAAATCACGTGGCTGACTATTCAATTCTTGAGTCGGTACTAGAGAGTTTAAGCTCTGTTCTTGTTCATTGCTTGTGAGTTGATTACCATTGGAGGTTGTCGAGTTGGTCCTTTTTGTGAACCTCTTTGTACGTGCCATTGTCCTAATTACACAAGAAAGTTTGCAAGCACACATATATAGTGATATAGAATATACAAATCCCATTAAATCAGTAAGACCAGTAAGTACAGCATGATATGTTATTTTTGCAAAATTTAAACCAATGAAATATTACTATGCTAGTGTAACTTTGGTTAATTATACCTGCAAACCCAGCATGTACACATTTTGATATTCATTAAACCAGTAAAACAAACATGTACAACAAAAAGGACAATACAGTTGTTCTTTGATAAACTGTTTAACACTATAAGCCTTGTAGTGATGTGAACAAAAAACATCACTTATATGCTAGATACGACACAATATCCAAAATAAACTCCAATATAAACAAGTACACTAACTGTATTCAGGAAAATTATTATCATATTTCCATTTCTTCATCCTCGTTTATATTAGCAGGCAGAACCGGATTGTCATCATCCGTGGAAGGTCGTGATAATTGTAGAGGTGTTGTGTCATCCACATCAACATGGTCCAAGTTCTGTGAAGGAAATTGGCCAGTCCATGTCATAGTATCTTCACCCATATCAAACAAGTCTCTTGGCTTGACATGAATTGGTATGCTCCAACCTTTTTCTTTTTCATCATCAATA